CTAACAATACATTAACGTAATTGTACTGCCGTTGACAATACATTTGTACTGCCGTTGACAATACAATTAGAGTCAATGACAATTATAGTTTTGTTTGTTATTTTTTTTTTTTTTGTTTGATTTGTTGACAAGTTAACGTAATTATATTACTGTCGTTGACAGAAAAATAACTGTAAACATAATAATATTACAGTCAACCACATCAATATTATTATTTTTTTGGGTTTTTTTGTTTTTTTTTTGTTTTTTTTGAGTTATTTACGGAGTAACATAATAATATTACTGTCTATTATTGTAATATTACAGTAAACACAATAATGTTACTATGGTTGACGGTAATATTGTTGTTGTTATAGTAATGTAATTGTCAACCACATCAATATTACTATTTTTTTGGGTTCTTTTTTTGTTTTGTTTGAGTTATTCACGGAATAAAGTAATAATATTACTGTCTATTATTGTAATATTACTGTTGTTATAGTAATATTACTGTCACTCACAGTAATATTATTCTTTTGGCTTATTATTATGTTTACAATTATGGAACGGTCAACATATTAATATTACTCTATTACACAATAATAATGACTTTTGTTGTGTTAATATTATTGTGCTAGAGATTAATATAGCAATATTACTGTGTTAAACTGTAGTATAATTAATTTAACTATTTTTAATAGTAATATAGTTAATATTACTGTCAATCACAACAATATTGTTGTTTAAACAGGAAAAAAAGATGTTACAAAAAAAATATCGAAAAAGTCAATGCCAAAAACCGGTGGCAGAAAAAAAAGGAAGGAAAAAAAATCAACACCGGAAACTGACTGAAAAACCAGGAAGAAAAAAAAACAAAAATCAACGCCAGAAACCGGCGGAAAAACTCAGGAAGAAGAAGATAGAAAAAAGAAAAAAAAATCAACGCCGGAGACCGGCGGTTAACGGCGGTGACGGACGAAATTGTCCATAAAAATGTGTTTTGGATCAAAATTGAATAATTTGTGAAATTTGGGGTCAAATTGAGGTTAGATTAAATTACATGATGAAATTGAAGCATATTAAAGTATGAGGGGCTATTTTAGTCTTTTACAAACGTCTGGACCATGTGTGAACTTTTTTGTAAAAGAGTTTATTGTCTGAATCTCGTTATGAATAAGTACTCATAGATGAGCTTATTTCTAAAGTGCCCTATTGCTAATGACCCCTTAACTTATTTTTTGTTGTTTTACATTCTCTGGGGTTTAAAAAGGAAACAAATAACATCTCTTTCATTGTATAGGTCGACTAAATGCATGATCTATTACACCGCACCAAAAGGCAAAATTCTACGCCCCAGTGCCCCCATCTCTTGGTCCGATAAGATTTTAATGGAGGAATGTAAATCATGGTGACTGAATGGCCTGTAGGGTAACGGACCCGAACCTAAATCTGGTGGCCTCAAAGAACCAACCCTCATTAAAGTTGAAATTCCCGCACTACGGTTGCTAGGATTCGATCGTATGACCTTGTACCAAATTACCACCCTGAAACCAGTAGAGCGACACTCATGCGGCGCAGGTTTGGAGCTTATCTTGCTAAATGTACTTATATTACATCATTACAAATAATAACTATTTGATTTTCAAATAAATGATACCCATCTATGCCCCAACCCTATTATGCTAAACTTGGCTTGCTAACATATCTTTGAAACGTCAAGTACAACTGTACTACAACTGGAAACCATTAAATAATCTCAATGCATATTTGTCATTTTTCACTTGACATACGTAATTAAATTTGGACCTTCGTCCAAATCTAATAAACTTGATCTACATCTATTAGAAGATAAATATAGTATATTGACGAAACATTTACAAAATTATATCTAAGATTTTATTTAGGGGGAATATGTCAAACACCCTCCATTGGGTTTTTTATTCTTGATAAATCCTTAATTAATTAATGGTATTTGAGATAAATCCATTGGACTTAATAACCCATATATACCCCTACTTATTAGTATAATTATTAAATTAAATATTAAGGTAAATTAATACCAAATCCCTCCCAACAATAAATCAATTCCAAATCAATCCCAAAATCACATTGCCGTATAAATTCGCCCCTCTTCCCCCAAATCACGGTAGAAAACATAACCGTATAATATGCAGTTTTTTTTTTTTTTAAATAGTTTTTTTTTATATTAATTTAAAACATAAGTTTTTTTTTTTTATTTTACTTTTTTAAATGGTTCATATTTAAAAAAAAAATTAAAATCCACTACATACACATCGAAAACCACTAAATTTATCGAAAACCACTATGAAATTAAAGTAAAAATTACTATAAAATAATTTATCGAAAACCACTATGAAATTAAAGTAAAAATTACTATAAAATAAGAATAATCCACATTAATATTAACATAATCCACTATGTAATTAGTGAAAAACCACTATGTAATTAGTGAAAACCACTATGTAATAAACAAATTTCATTAAAAAAATTCACTTAAACCTATCAATTAAAAAAACCACTATTAAATTAACGAAAACCACTCTGTAATTAGCGAAAACCACTGTATAATTACAAATTCATAGACTCTCAGCCGCATCTCCCGGACACCACAACCACCACCTCTGCTCCGCCATCCTCTTGATCTTCTCCAACCAACAGCCCCATCTCCCAATTAAGCTTTAAGCTTTTTTCTTTCATTATTCTTCAAGCTCAAAACTTGGGCGAAGACCCACCAAAAACTTGATGTCCCCGCTGCGCAAAACTTGACGAAGACCCACCAAAAATCAGCCAGATGCTGCAAAGAGAAATGGGAAAACATAAACAAATACTTCAAGAAGGTGAAAGAGAGCAACAAGAAGAGACCCGAAGATTCCAAAACCTGCCCCTACTTCCACCAGCTCGACGCCATTTACAGAGAGAGGGGTTCCAAATCCGACGTCGTTTCGTTTCCGGGTTACGGGTTGAATCCGGATGATAACAACCCGATGATGCTGCCGCCGCCCATTATGGCCCGACCCGAACAGCAGTGGCCACTCCCGCCCGACGAGCAACGGCAGCCGCCCGATCAGTTTCAGGATAACGAGAGCGATCAAGACGATGTTGATGGAGATGAAGACGATGAAGAAGATGAAGCGCAGTGTTTTGAGATTGTTATCAACAAGCAGCAATCTTCAGTTACGACGACGAACGCAGCCGATTAGTGATAGACTGATAGTTGTAGAGAGACAGATCTAGGGTTTGGGTGTGGGAGTTAACAGAGAAATATTGAATAACTGAGTATAAAATAAGAGAAAAAGGTTATAATTGTCAAACTACATTAACTTTTATTAATTTTAATTGTTTTGGATTTAACTCAAAAATAAAAAAAAAATTTGGACTTATTGTAATTAGAGGGGGCTAACGAGGGGTGTTTGTCAAATTATCCCTTTTATTTAATACTTTCTAGTTTCTATAATTGCAGTTATCCTTTACACATTGGGCCCTTGCACATTAACTGTTAAAACACAATCTCGATAATATTGTTTTGGTAATCAATAGATACAAGCGGTAATGGCAAATAGGTGCATGACAAGGGCACTTAATTAAAAGAGGGACATTCAATTTTTTTTCTTTCAAATAAATCCAACTCATTCAAACTTATTTGCAAATAAGGAAAATCCTTTTATATATACCAAAATTACCCCCCAATTCATTGAAACCCAATTTAACTCCAATTTCATGATTTACACCCCAATTTAGCCCAATTTCATCAATTAACCAATTTTAACCCTAATTTCAATTTTGACCCCAATTTTGACCCACCACCACCGGAGACCGCTGGTCGCCGCCGTTGTCCGGCGTTGACCGCCGGTCTCCGGCGTTGACTTTTTTTTTTTTTTTTTGAAATTTTTTTTTCCTGAAATTTTTTCCGGCCGGTCAACTGTCGTTGACTTCTTTTTTTTAAATAATTTTGTTTTTTCTTAAATTTTTTTTTAATTAATATTACTGTCTTGGCTGCTAAATTATTGTCTCCAGCAGTTATTTAACTGTCGGAGACAGTAATTTAACTGTTAATTGACTCTTTTTTTTTCTTAAAAAATATTTTAATTAATATTACTGTATTCGTTGCTAAATTACTGTCTCCAGCGGTTATTTAACTGTCGGAGACAATAATTTAACTGTTAATTGACTTTTTTATTCTTAAAAAAAAATATTTTTAATTAATATTACCGTATTCATTGCTAAATTACTGTCTCCGGCAGTTATTTAACTGTCGGAGACAGTAATTTAACAGTTAAGTGACTTTTTTTTTTTTTCTTAAAAAAAATTATTTTAATTAATATTACTGCCTTGGATGTTAAATTACTGTCTCCAACAGTAATTTAACAGTCTTAGACAATAATATTAATAATATTACTGTTCGGAAAAATAATATTCATAATATTACTGCCCAAACAGTAATATTACTGTCTGAGACAGTAATTTAGTAGCCAAGGCAGTAATATTAATTAAAATAATTTTTTTCTAAGAAAAACAATTCAAAAAAAAAAAAAAAAAGTCAACGCCGGAATGTGGCCGGAAAAAAAACATTTCAGAAAAAAAATTATTTTCTAAAAAAAAAAGTTTTGGGGGTTAATGTGATATATTTGTTTAAATTCGGGGTCAATGTGTAATATTTAGGAAGTTAGAGTATAGTGGGTGGTATTGCTAAGAAATATATTATTGAGGGTATTTTAGACTAAAGACATGGGGATGGACTTAATTGAGATACTGTTTTTTTTGTGGACTAAAATGCATTTAAGTCCTATGTGATGGGCCTTTTTGCCATTTGCCCTAGATACAATTGTAAAATAAAGAAAAAACTTCAACAAATTGTATCTGTAATACTTATCGGAAAAAAAATATATTTTTCAAATAAATCCAAATGTTATGGTAGCATAACCCATTATATATAATATGTTATAAGTTTATAACACCATGAGCACACACATCTAGCTAGCTACCCTACCTACATACTAGTTTAGTGATGGCTTATTCAACAACAATCATCAACTTTATGATCACCATCTTAATATCTCTAATTCTAAGTAGCACCATATCCGAATCTTATGTACACCGATCATCATCAGCTCCCTTCAAACCAAACACACTCATTCTCCCAGTTATGAAAGACTTCAAAAACAACCTTTTCGCCACGACCCTCCACAAGAGAACTCCTCAAATCGCCGTGCCCCTTGTCCTCGATCTCAACGGCAGAATCTTGTGGCTTAACTGCGACGACAACTACTTGTCTTCCACCTACAGAGCTCCGATATGCCACTCCGTCCAATGCGCACGCGCCGGCGCCCATTCCTGCCACAAATGCGGGTCTTCCCCCACTCCTCGGCCCGGTTGCCACAACAACACTTGCAGTGTCATCGCCACTAACCCAATCACCCTAAAGAATTCCGTTAGCGAACTCGCGCTCGACGTCGTCACTATTCGTGACTTCAACGGCAGCAGTGGCTCCAACGCTAGCCGTCGTTGGGCCACCGATCCTCACTTTATGTTCGCTTGCGCGCCTTCGTCTCTTCTGCAAGGACCGCTCCAGCACGGTGTTCGGGGAATTGCCGGACTGGGAAATACCCCTGTTTCTTTGCCCGTGCAACTCGCTTCACGTTTCGGGTTCCGCCCTGAATTCGCCTTGTGCCTTTCTCCGTGGGGCATAGAGGGAACGATGCTGATCGGGAATATTCCTCCAAGGATGCTACCGAAAATCATGTTCTACACCCCCTTAACCGTTGGCGCACAGGGCGACTACTCCATACGTATCAGATCGATCAGCATAAACAACAAAAATGTCCCCTTCAACACGAGCTTATTTTCCAAAACCAAAGGGTTTGGCGACACGATAATCAGCACGACAGTATATCAAACAGTTATGGAGCACTCGATTTACAAAGAGTTGACCCAATTCTATGTTAGAGAACTATCCAGGGTGCCTCGAGCTCCAGCCGTACCCCCCTATGGACTCTGCTTTTTCATCAGAGCTATTTGGCCGACCGCTATTCCCGATATAAATTTGTATTTTCAGAACAGAAATGTGAGGTGGAGGATTAGGGGATACGACTCGTTGTTTTACGTGACGCGGGAGGTGGCTTGTTTGAGGTTCGTTGATGGGGGAACAAATGTACGAGCGCCAATCACAATTGGATCGCATATGTTGGAGTCCACCTTTGTGCACTTTGATCTCGCTAGATCAAGATTTGGTTTCACCCCTAACTGGAGCCAACAAAATATCTACTGCGAGCAATACTACAACTTCACCGCTAATCCTCACCACGAGCTACATAACTTTGATGCCACAACAAATTAGCTTATACCTCTTTCAACTTTCGTCTAAGTGTGCATGCGTGTTTATGTATGAGGTCTTCTATCTTTTTCTTTTTTTTTTCTTTTTGGTTTCCGGATCGTCAGATCGTTCGGTGTTTATGTAATTAGTTTATGTAATATATATTATGTGTATATGTTTGTTTATATTTTCTTGTTTATAGGATATGAATGCATTTGCAATGAACTCCGACTTATTATCAGATTTCGTCGTTACAATTAGGCAAGGAGTCGAGCAGAGAGGCTTCAAAAGGTTTTCTTTGCCGTGACTTATGGACTTAAAGTTAAAACCCACAAACTCAATTCATTCACCGATCGAAGCATTCCACAATTTCCGCCGGAAAATCGTCTCCACCATTTTTGTATTTGAGAACTGCGATCGGTGACATCCAACAACAACCTCGGCTGTTGTTCACAAAAGTCCTTTCGTTTTAAATTGAGTACTGTAAGGAAGCATGCCCAAAAGTAAAACAACCCCTTGGACTACTACGAAAAACACCATCGGATTTCAAAGTAGCACAATTTCAACCAATTGAGCACGTCTATCATATTTTTCACGGTAACGAGATCAGTATAACAAACTCCATTGAGTTCGCCGCCATAGAACTCAACGGTTACACATACTTGTTCAACACTATATGCTTCGCTTAATGTAGTTGCATTTGTCAAACATGAGGATAATTCATCAATCATATATTATTTTCATCACTAAACAATATAATAATATGTTAATTGCGACATAATAGATCTGATTCAACTTCAATTTAGAATTATTTATTTCATTCCAACTTTTAATATTTCGACGTAAAATGAAGCTGGATATTATTCAACATATAATATTATCACTGTAATATTATGTATATAAATATATTATTAAAAGTAAATCGTAGAAAAATGACCGTTACCATGCAATACACGTGCATCTTTCTAGTAACTATAAGAACTAAGTGGCAAGTGAATTTTTTTCTTGTTGACAATGGCATGGAAATTACAAATAATAACTCTTTGATTGTAAAATCTTGATATTAGAAGGGTTTTTTTGTGTTAAAACAGAAATAACCATCTTTTATTTCTTTTTTTTTTTTCCAATAAATGATGCCCGTCATCGTTCCAACCCTACATGCTAAACTTGGCTTCCCAACATATTCTTGAAACGTCAAGTACTACAACTGGAAACCATTAGTACCAATAAACTATTCTCAATGTATATTTGTCCTTTAATTCGAGTTCATTGACATCCATACCTTTGTCCAAATATAGTAAACTTGATCTACATCTATTAAAAGATAAATATAGTGTAGTGTATTGAAGAAAACCGGCGGTCAACGTCGGTCTCCGACGTTGTTTTTTTTTTTTTTTTGAAACTTTGTTTTTTGGAAAAATAATATTCCCGTTGTTGAAAGACACTGAACGTCTGTCTCCGGCATTGACGTTTTCTTTTTATTTTTGAAAAAAAGAATTCAAAAAAAAAAATCTCATTGACATGCGTTGACCAGTCAACACCATAAGATTAATGTAGTTGACAGTAATATTACTGTGTAGTACATATATTAATTCTTTTGTGTTTTATCGGGTAACACACTATGTCACACATCAATATTATTTTATAGCACATTAATATTGTGGTTAATACGACTCTGTTACATAGTAATATTAATATTTCTTTATATTGTGCTAGACAATAATATATTAATATCACCGTGTGTGGCACTAATATAGTTAATATTACTGTCAAACACAGTAATATTAATGTTTTATAGGGAAAAATATGTTAAGAAAAAAATTGATGATAACATAATAAAAAATAAAAGAAAAATAAATAAATAAATAAAGAAAAAGAAAAAGAAAAATCTATGCCGGCGACCCAACGGGAAATGTTTTCCCAGGAAATATATGCCGGGGATCAGATAAAAACAAATTTAGGAAAAAAGATAAATAAAAGTATGCTCCGGAGACACGTGGTCAATGGTGGCGGTGGTCAAAATTGAGTTAGGGGTCAAAATTGAATAATTGGTGAAATCGAAGTTAAATTGTGGTTTAAGGAATGAAATTAGAGTATATTAGATTTTTATGGGGATTTTTATATTTTTCAGGGTCTCGGACCTTATCTGTCCTTTTGCGTAAAGGTGCTTTTCAGGTGGACCTATTTATGAATAAGTAAGTCACCATGGACTTATACGTAAATCCACCTTAGAAGATCAATGAGATAAATTGATGGACCCCTCATTAGTGAAATATATAAAACTAACTATTAAGGAGATTACATTCTTATATCCCCTCTCACCCTTTTTTTTTTTTTTTTTTAATTTGACATACCCTTCGGACACTTGAAGTATCTAAAATCCTTATTGAATCAGGTTTAAACTCTAGTCAACCCACATTCATTTGTCTCACTATCACTCTTCCACTCTAAGATACGAATTTCAGCTTCATATATTTCTGACCGGTGATGTGTTTCTAGGAGTCGTAACCATCATTGGATTTTTCTCGTTAAGCTCTTTCTTTTGATGGTGAGTTCATACGGTTTGGAGCTCTGGATCTATTTCTGAAATATTTTCCCATGCACGCGTATTTTGATTACTGCGGGTCTTCTCGGAGGGATAATTTGTTGTCCGACGATCGGAATCTTACGGGCTACCTACCGTTGGATTTCTTTCGTCGAGATCTATATTTTATGGTCGTTCCGTTCAATTTTGATTGTCAGGTTTACTAATGTGAAGTTTTTACATTGAACCTTGAGTGGTTAACGTCGACTAGGGTTTTGGTAGGAGGCACTTGCGGTGAGGAGTTCTTCGCGGTTTGGTGGAAAGAAATTTCCTCTGGCTTTCTCTCTCTATGTCTATATGAAATTTCATTGATTTTGTGTGTTGTGAATTTTCGTCAATTTTTTGCTAACTTATTCTAAAATTACATTGAATAATACAAGACTTCATGCAATTTTACTAGTACTGTCTCCCCAATAACACATCTAAATTTTTTTTTGTTTGGTTTTATAATTGCATCCTAATGAAAGCCATTGTTCTTCGGTGCCCAAATTCTGATTGAAGTCGTAGACGAATTTGAAATCTAGTTCAAGCTATAGCCGACTACATACTACACAATATTACACATTACTATAGTTATATATAGTACCATATAGTAACATGTACTAATATAAGCATGTGGTTGTGTACTTTGCCCTATATTTGTTGGTTACGACTTGATTTATAATATAAATATTTAAATTGTGAATTTTGTTGTTGGTGTTGATGAAGTTTTTTTCTCTTTAGTAGGTGATACCCGTGTTTGTACATAAAAAAAGGAGAGAATATAACAAAAATAATTGTAGTCATTTGTAGTCGTTTTCAGTACATTAAACATCTCGAACAATTTTTTTATAAACATATTAAAAAAGTAAAATAATAGTAGAAATATATATATATATATATATATATATATATATATATATATATATATATATATATATATATAGGTTTTTATGTATAAAATAAAATCAGCGAAATGATAGGTCCAAAAATACTAAATGCAGTTGGCAAAAATATTGATTACAGTTAGACGGAAATTGAATATAGGAGCAGTATTGTACTTTTGCCTCTCCAAGTGATATCTCAAAGGATTAATTTAGTTTGGGATTTTCACTAGTCTAGGGAGGCGCCAGGGGTGCATGTCAAATAAGCCCAAGATAAATATAGTATATTGACAAAATATTTATAAAAGTACATCTAAGATTATATTTAATATATGTGCTCTTTGACATAACCCCTCAAACATTTCCTTAATAGGGAATTATCCAAACTATATATGATTCACTCTCTGAGATAAGTTCATACTTTTCGTTTGTTGTTTGCTATTCCTACAATGGCTCAAACACGATTTAGTCTCGGTAAGCAATACTCCTATTTGATTATTTGCTTTTGTCAATACTCATTCAAGAAGCCGTTTTTTTTTTCCGGACATCGAACGAGGTTGATGACTTCGAATCCCCAAAATCATGTATAAGTTGCATGGTTTGTTAATGTTATTAGTATGTTTATGCTTATTTAAAAAAATGTAACTGTTTTTCAAGTTTGCACTTTTAATTTCTTGAGTTAAATATTTGATTGTTGCTAGTGTGAATTTAGTATACCCAATTTGTATTTTTCTGTTTCGAGTTTGTTTTTATGAGTTTGCATTTGCCATATTGCATTTGCTTTTTGGTATTTAGGGAACCTTATGAAAATTTTGGTTTTCATTTCGTTTGAAGTTTAAAAATTTTAGTATGATTTGAGCTTTGTTATTTTGAGTTTGTACTTAAATTTTTAGTATGATTTGAGTTTGCATGTTGTTGTGGTTAACTTGGTGTGCAATTACTAGGGAATATATCTAGTTGTTTTGCAGTTGGATGTACATTTCTAAATGCAGTTTTTATTTTGCGATTCCCTATTATAATTGAAGTTGTTATTAGTTGTTTGAAATTCATGTTTGCTCTTAATTGAAGTTGTTATTAGCTGTTTGCAGTTCATGACTATATTTATAACATGAACTGTTGTTTTCATCTGCTATTAATATTTGTTGTTTGCAATCACAGTTTTTTTTTGCTATTTTCCTTATATCTGCAATTAGTAAATTGTGGTTGAAGTTTGCAATTTATTTTTTGTAGGTTCAAGATCGTACATTATATTAGGGGTGAGCAAAAAAACCGAAAAACCGAAAAACCGAACCGAAAAACCGAAAAAACGAGCCATTTTAAACCGTACCGAATTGCAAACCGCATGTACGGTTTTTTATTTTTGAAATACCGAATTATTCGGTTCGGTATGGTGGGAAGGTAAATAACCAAACCGAAAAACCGAACCGAACCGAAACTATAAAATGACTTCATTTTATATAATATATGTATTATTTTACCCTAATATTTATTTTCTATATTTCAATTACTTGTCTCATTCTAAACATTTGTTCATAAATTGAGCCATTGTATTTTATTTATTTAGTAAGAAAAAATTTACTTGAGTTCATGGTGTTAATAATGTGGTAGATAAAAGTAGGAAAAAAAAAATGAAGCATAATGCATCATCTAAATTACATCATCTAAATTACGTTAAGTCCTATGAAATTAAGGATTTTATATTTTCATTGCATTAGTAAGTTGTGAAAGTAATTGTAATTG